TATATCTTCATTAGTACATTCTATTAATGTGTTTTTCTTATCATAATTATTTATTCTTTTTGGACAAGTCTTGGATAAATGTTCATTACTATTACATACATATTTACTGCTGGTAAATTATTCCATTTATCTGTGATTTCTAATCCTAATGGTCCTGGTAATTTATGAAACAATTTTTTACCAATTTCTTGATTAAATGTATTTCCTAATATTGAAGTTAAATAATGATATTCATTTAAAAAGTTCTTAACATATCTTCCTTTAGTCCATATATAAAAGCTAAGTTGTTCTAAATCTCTCATAACTTTTCTTTGTATACTCATATGTCCTGAATTTGGGTCTGCTCCTGTTATTAATATCTGTATTTTACTAACAAAATTATATGGATTACTACCCATGTTAATTAATTGTTCAAATTCTTTCGTCTTTTTTGGATTGCTTCTGAAATTCTTCAATTTTTTCAAAAATCTTTTCTAAAGAAACAGTATCTGGATTAGGATCTTGTGATTCTTGAAGGAATAAACAGTCTTGGCTATCTTGAGCTACCATTTTTTCTTTTCCCTTACTGAACTGAATTTCTTGGGCTTGTGAAAATTCTGGATTATTTGAAAAATATTCTGGTGAAAAATGATCTGGTGGGCTGTATTTAACTAAGTAATCAAATTTTTTGCTGAGCTATCCTAAAAGATCCCAAATTTATTTACCTTTTTCTGTAGTAGATTTATCAGTCTGCTAAGTCTGATTATCTAATTTAGTAGAGGAATCAACAGTCCCCTGAATCTGTTGGGCTTTTGGTAAGTCCACAACCTTCAACGGATTTGATAAGTCTTTACCAGCTACCGTTTGGGCTGGACTAGCTATGGACTTCTTGGGCTCCATAGTACCTGTTGGATAATGGACTTTTAAATCCAAAATCTCTTTTTCTAGTTGGGCCACTTTCTTTTGGAGTTGGGTTCTTTCTATTGAAAGGTTCTGGTTGGCTTCATTAATAACTTTGTAGTTTCTCTGCATACACTCACAGTGTTGACAAAAAATATTCTGGTCTTTACTTGGAGAAAAGTCTAATGGAGGGTCTGAGTAGTTCTTTAAAGAAGGAGATAAATAAAAATTTATTCCTAACTGTTGTCTTGCAACATCTAATGCTTCTTGAAAATTTGTAAAACCTTTGTAAAGAGGGTCTGGAAAATTTTTAATACAGTCTAAAACTTCTATCCAAGAATGGAAAATTCCTGGAGTTCTTCCTTTAATAACAACATAGAATTTAAACCTTTGCTTGTTCTGACAAAAGTGTTCTGACAATGCATTCATGCATGCAAGAAAATATATTTGGTCTTTTGGATTCTTATTATAAGAAATCCATAAATTGTCTAAAATACATTTCTCTTCTCTAGATAAAGAAATATGCGGTAAAATTTTAAAAGAAATATTACTATTGGGAAACACTATAAGTTCTTGGTTTTCAAACCTTAATCTGTCTTGTAACATTGGTCTGTTCTGATTAAATGGAGTCTGTGGTAATAGTCTTGATGCAAATGAATTCCCAGGTGGAATTCCTGGTCTTATAGGCCTTGGTCTTATCATTTGTATAACAAAATTATGTTAAGCAAATTTAATAATTTCTATCTATTATTATTCTACTTAGTATATCTGCTGCTTTATTATCACTACCTTTAATATGCTCAAATTCTATATTAATTCTTGTATTTGTAATTCTATCTATAAAATTTAACCACCTTCTTCTACTACTTCTTTTTGAATCTATTTTCATTTTATTGACAAAGGAAACTATAGCTATACAGTCTGTTCTTATAGTTATTTATTTCTTAGATATAATAAATAGTTCAAAACTGTCTAATGCATAATTTATAGCTAATAATTCTGCATCTATACTACTTAAGTTTCCTTTCTCTTTATAATTTTCACTATTGTACCTACAAATTTTTTATGTACTTTTATCAGTATATTTATTGGGTTTGCATATTAGTATAACTCCCCATCCTATCATACTTCCATCTGTTTCTATGATTAAGTATTCTGAATCTAGTGGCATAGCTAGTTCTGGTAAAGTTTTTATTTTTTCTTTTATTTGTTGCACTAGTTTTATGTCTTCTTGATTAAAAAATCTTTATCCTGTAGGAGATGTCTTAGCATATAAGGGTCCTACTATTTTTCCCAGATCTTTTATAAATGGTCTAGCATAATTTACTAATCCTAAAAATTTTTGGATTTGTTTTAGGTCTTCTAATTTATCTGGAAATTCTAATGCTTTTTTAGCAATATGGGGTTATAACTCAATTTTTCCTTCTCCTATATTAACTCCTAGAAAATCTATAAATTCTTTAAATAAAATCATTTTCTTTTTACTAATTAATAGACCATGTTTAATAAATTCTGAAAATACTATTTGTAAATGTCCTCTATGTTCTTGTTTATTTTTACTAAATACTAAAATATCGTCTATGTATACTATTACAAACTTACTATGTCTATTAAAAATACTTTCCATTTTTCTTTGAAAAATACTTGGTGCATTCTTAATTTCAAATGGCATTATGAGCCATTCAAAATGTCCTTCTGGGCAGGTAAAAGATGTCCACTTAATACTTTCTGGATGCATTTTTACTTGTCAAAATCCTGGCTTTAAATCAAATTTACTAAAAATTTTACAATCTTGTATTTTATTTATTAAAACTGTCTTATCTGGTATATTATAAGCATCATCTATAGTATTATCATTAAATCTTTTATAATTAATGACCATTCTACTTTTTCCTCTAATAATTTCTGAATGTTTTCTAACTATAAAGGCTGCTGATCTATGAGGGCTATTTGATTTTCTAATTACTCCTAATTCCAAGAGTTCTTTTATATATATTTTAAAATCTTCTAAATCTAAATTTGTTGCTTCTATATTCTTAGTTTTAATTATGTAACGGAATCCATAATGGGTTTGAAAGTCAAATTGTCTCAATTCAATAGAAAGGGGGACTATCCTATACGGAAGCAGAAAATGAGGGCCAACTTAGTCCAAAAAGGGTTGTAAAGGTTCTTGATGATCTTGAAACATTTTCTATGAGTTAAAAGCAAAAACTGCTGAAATTGAAGAGATGAATGAAATTGCCTATTGTTCTATAATTTTGCATTTATCTGAATTAGATAGCTTACATATACTAAACGTGTCAAATGAAGAACCTAATAAAGATTGGATTCTAGATATTGGATACAGTTGTCATATGTGCCCTGAAAGATCATGGTTTTATAATTATAAGGAAATAGAACTTGGAAATGTGTATCTGGGAGATAATAATTCTCAGAGTATGAATGGAACTGGTGATATTGCTATCGAAATGTTTGATGGCATTGTCAGGCCAATCAAGAATGTGAAATATATCCCGAATTTGAAAAGGAACTTTATTTCATTAGAGTTCCTTGAAGATGAGGGATATACCTTCAAATCTGATAATAAAACTTTGAAAATTATGAGGGCCTCTTTAATTGTAATGAAAGGACCTAAAAGAAATGGTCTATATTATCTAGAAAGCAAAACAGTTATAGCACCTAATCCAAGTCTACTAACTGTAAATGAAAATAAATCTGAACTTTGGCACAATAGAATGGGTCATATTGGAAATAAAGATTAAAATCTTTAAGTAATCAAAAATTACTTGAAAAAGATGTTATTGAGACTGTGGACTTTTGTGAGACTTATGTATTGGATAAGTCTGACAAGGTGAGTTTTGAGTCTATCTCACATAGAACTAATAGGTCCTTGGACTATATACATGGTGAACTTTGGTGTCTTGAGAAGCATTCTACATTTGGTATAATTACTTTCTATCCCTTATAAATGATTTTTCTAGGAAGGTTTGTATTTACCCTTTATAGGCTAAGTCTGAAACCTTTCACAAGTTTAGAACTTGGCTCAAAGCTGTTGAAAATTAGTTAGAGAAAAATTAAAAACACTAAGAACTGATAATGAGCTTGAATTTTGTAATGTAGAATTTGATAATTTTTGTAAATAATGAGATATAGGACTATAAAATACATGCCTCAACAAAATGGGGTTGTTGAGAGAATGAACTTGGCCATAATGAATAAATATAGATTCATGCTTATCAGTTTTGGCTTGGCCAAAGGTTTTTGGGCTAAAGCTACTTGTACAACAGCTTACTTGATAAACAAGTCTCCCTCTAGCAGTATAAGCTTTAAAACTCCATAAAAATTGTGGATAGGGGAGCCCCTAAACTTAACCCATATAAGAGTTTTTAGATGTACTGCATATGCACATCAATTTGAAGGGAAACTTGAACTTAGGACCATCAAATGTCTGATGCTAGGTGTTCGTGTGAATTTCGCAAACGTATGGGTTCGTTGTACAAGTAATAGATTTAGTGAGTTAGAGTATCGTCCCACGAGGAATAAAATTTAACTTAGTGTATTAGTTCTTAATTAGATTCAAAGCGAACAAATTAAAAGTGATTTTTGTGAAATCTATGAAAATGTATAAAATGCGAATTTAAAATGTATATGGGAAGAATGTGTTGGATTACGAATCCACTTATTATTATCTATTCCAATTCTCGATTACGTAGCTAGTTTCGCTCTTGCATTCTTGACAATCGATAATTTTATTGTAATTAATTTTCCTTTCCAAGACAAATTAAATCTATCCTATTCACGATCCGATTTTATTCCTAGTCTGAATTCATATGAATAAAATGTATTCAATTTCACAATTATCTCAAAGATTGCACACGTGATAAATCTTATTCCTAGTCTGAATTCATATGAATAAAATGTATTCAATTTCACAATTATCTCAAAGATTGCACACGTTATAAATCTTATTCCTAAAATTTATTGTACATATGTTAATCATGCAATGTTCTAAACTTATTGTGAACCTCCCAACACTACAATAAGTAACTATATATTTAATTGGTGATCAGACAATCAAATAATAAAAGTAAGCATGCAAGATTAATCAATAATTGCAAGAATTTAACTAAACCACATGTCTTGAATTAAAAATAAATAATAACGAATTTTATCGTCATCCAATACATGAGAAAAATTAGCCTAACATGATGTTGAAATTAAACACATAAAATTGGAAGAACGTCACCGAGAAATTAACGAAACGTGAATAATTTCCAAAGTAAATCTCCGTCTTTCTCTTTTTATTCCAATGGGTTGCCTCCTTTTTGTATCTTTTTCTTCCCAAAAAGCTCATGCCAATGTGTTATATTTCAGCCAAAAGCAACCCTCCAAAAACAGCCTTCAATTCAATCTCCAAATCTGGTCTTTGCTATGCGTGTATGTGTTTTATGTTTTCTGCCAAAGTGTCTTCCCGTGTGTATAATTTTTTAATGAAACCAGCCGGCAACAACCCTTATGAATCTGTGGGCGTATGTGTATATATCTACTTCCGTGTTTGTGCCGAACAATCCTTCACGTCACCGCCCAATGTTTGTGTAAATATATAATATTGCAACTGCGTGTATATAATTATTGTTCCTCCTAGCTGGTGACGTTTTCTTTGTGCGTGAGTCTAAATATTAATTGGCTGCTTCTTTCTTCTCCAATTCTTCCTTGCCGCCAGCAACTTGTATCTATCCCCTCTTCCTTCGTTTTATGTGCGTGTTTCTCACTCCAGTAAAGCACAGATTTTTCTCCACTCTATCCCCTAGCAGTCGGCACTTGTGTTTATATCTTTGATGGCAGAATTCTCCTCCCAAAGATGCCGACCTGCCTCTTGTTTTTTTTTCTGTCTCCCTAATTCTTGTAGCTGCCAATGTATATTATTTCCCAGGCTGCTCCCCCCGGCTCTTTGGATTTTCTGTGTGTATATATATGAATCCTACGATGCAATGCAACCTAGCAGCTCTTCTAGTCCAATTAGAGGTCCAACCGTCCTAGTAAATCTTCAATTTGAATTTCAAAGCAAGTCCAATTGAGCCCACTTAGTAGATTATTTTTCTCCAAGTACTCAATTTTCAAAGCGATGCAAATCAGTCCAATTTTTATAGTTAGACTTTGATTCCCAAAAATTGCATCCAATGGCCAATTTAATTCATGTACTTTGGATTTTGCTATTTCCGCTCGTTTTTGCTTCTCTCCTTCACTTCCTTTTCAATCGTAGATTTTCACCTGTTAAACGTAAAAGACAACAATTTAGAATGTATTTTGCCAAAGAACTATCAAATATCGTTATTTTAGAGTCCCGAATAAGTGTATAAAATACACTTATCACTAGGTTACCTAGAAAGTGTGAAAAAATACATGTTATGGGTTTTTGGTGTCCCGGGCATTAAGATCATCAATAGTAGACATATAGTCTTCAATGAATTTGAAATGTCATGTCTAAAATAAGAATTTAGTAAGATAAATAAATTTGAAAATGACAGGACAGTTCAAAGTGAGATGAAGTTAGCTAAATTTGACTTACCTCAACCTGAAGATGATAGTAATAATCCTGTTCATCAGCAAACTAAATCTACTCCAGGACCTGTAGAGGTGAATGAAACCCAAATTGAGGCTGAACTGAAGATGATAATAATAATCTTGTTCATCAGCAAACTAAACTTGTTCTTGAACCTGTAGAGGTGAATGAATCCCAAATTGAGGCTGAACTTACATACTAATAAGGTGTCAAAAAGAGAGTGGAGAATTTATTTATTTATTTACTTTTTTTGGGTTAAAGAAATAATGAATTAATTATATCTCACAACATCATGTTTATGTAAACCATTCTTTACATGTAGCACAACCCATTAAATAATACATAATAGAGAGGAAAAAAAGAGTGCGATTTTGCTACATGTACATACTAATTTACATAAACATGGTATAGTGAGTTATAATTGGGTCATAATTTCTTCAACCAAATAAAGAAAAGAATAATGTTAAAAGGTTGAACCCCAACCTTAAGGGCCCCCACCGACCCTGCCCTGGGCCATCGTGGGGGAGGTAAATCGCAGGATGTGCCTCCCAGGAGCCAGGGTGGAGAGCACATGGATAGGTCAAGGCTGTTAACCCATATGGTAACTCCCGCTTGCAACAAAGCCAATTCCACCTTGCGGGGAATCAAACTCTGCACACTGCCGCGCTGAGCCCTATCCGCCCTCCCATTTGCCACTGGGAGATATGCCCTGGGGGCATAAAAGAATAATGTTAATTGTATATAATAGAGTTATATAATGGTTTACATACAGATGATGTGTAAAAAGAGACAAATTTTTTTTTGTTGAAAAAATTCTAACCTTATCATATCTCACTACATCATTTCTATATAAATCAATATGTACACGTAGCGTAACCCATTGAATAAAATATAGTAGAGAGAGGAAAAAGTGCGATTGTGCTACATATATATAATGATTTACATACACACGATATAGTGAGTTATGATCATGTCATAATTTCTTCAACCAAATAAAAAGAAAAAAATAATGTTACTTGTATATTTCACCAAAATCATGTGTATGTAAACCATTATGTATATGTAGTCTATTTAATAATATATAGTAGAGAGATAAAAAAAAAATTGTGATTGTGCTACATATACATAATAATTTACATACACATAATATAATGAGTTATGATTGGATCATAATTTTTTCAACCAAATTAAAAAAAAAAATGCTACTTGTATTTAATAGAGTTACATAATAAGTTGCATACAGATGATGTGTCAAAAAGTGAGTGAATTTTTTTTATTGAAGAAATTTTGACTCAATTTATTTCATCACATCATGTTTATGTAAATTATTATGTACAAATAGCATTATACAAAAATGCGTAAGCTAACATAGAGAATGAAAGAGTGAGGTGTAGAAGATTTTTGGTGAGTCATGAGTTATTTATTGTAAGGGGGAGAAAATGCGAGGAGAGAGAGAATGCAAGGTGAGAGACTCTGTTATATATTAACGATATATTCCCTCCGTCTTATTTATATACGATGGTTTTGTTTTTCATAGGAATTAAGAAAACTTATTTAATGTTATTAAAAAAAAAATTCTAGATTGCCCTTATTTATGTTTGTACAATTTCAAGATTAAATGAGAAATTTTGGTTATAACTAAGCAAATTAAATGTGGGTATATTAGTAAACAAACAAAACAAAATATTCTCAATAAAGAAACTGGACTATAATTGGAACCCAAAAAAAAATAAAAAATAAAAAAATCAGCCTATATAAATGGGGCGGAGGGAGTATAATGCTACTTACTATGTTGTGATAATGTTTATCAAATATTTCTAATTTAAACTATAGTCCCTAAATTTCAGCTTCAATAATGTATATAATATTATCATTTAGCACTTGATTTATAAAACATTTTTATGAATTTGTTAAATGTGAAATTGTATACTTAAAGTGTTGTATTTACATATTTTTTCCTTTAATGTAAGTTACAAAATAATTCCAATATTGATTTCTTTTATCTTCTACAATACTTAAATATTTAGGTCAAACAAAATAAAGTAAATTAGTGTGCTATCATTCAACCTTATAAACTTTAATGAGACTGATAATGTTAAGAAGTGAATTAATTCTATTTTCGAGAAGGCCGCGTGAAAATTATTTGAAGTATTGCAATAATTCAATCATCGTGGACACAAGTACGTGGAAATGACGTGGAAACAGATAATAATTATCTGTAAAATCAGATCTTGCGTTGGAAATGACGTGGGAACAGATAACAATTATCTGAAAAATAAGACTAGTCAGAAATAAATGCCTGCTTGCGTTGACAATGACTGTCTGAAAAATCAGATTAGTTAGGAAAAAATGACTAATTGCGTTGGATATGACAAGGAAAGAGATAACAATTATCCTAAAAATCAGGAGTTTATTAAGAAATAAATGCCTAATTGAGTTGGAAATTACTTCGAAAGAGAGAATAGTCCTCTAGAAAATCAGATTAGTTAAAAATAAATGCCAACTTGCGTGTGAACGTCTTTATTATCTCTACGATTAGCATTATAAAAGACGTTTAAAAGTGCAGAGAAACACCAATTCACATTCGCAGCAAAGAAGCTCTGTGGGAAGTTCATCAATGGCTTCAACTTTGATTAGAAGGTATTACTCTTTAATTTTTCATGATACTGCATTCTGATAAACTATTAATTCTTGAGGTTTCTTTCTCAAAGTACAAGGCATGTTATTTTGATAGTTGGGTTGACTATGAATATTGTACTAACAAAATGTATGAACCTAGGCTGGAAGGGAAGGTAGCATTAATCACCGGTGCTGCTACTGGAATCGGCGAGGCGACTGCCAGACTGTTCGCCAAACATGGTGCTAAAGTTCTGGTTGCAGACGTCAATGATGAATTGGGAGAGAAAGTATGCAAGGAATTGGGAAAATCATCAGCCTCTTTTGTCCACTGTGATGTAACTAAAGAATCCGATGTAGAAACTGCAGTTGACACGGCTGTTGCCAAATTTGGGAAATTAGACATTCTGCACAATAATGCTGGTATTGGGGGGATACCAAATCCAAGCATTCTTGAAATCGAAAAATCAGAGTTCGAAAAGATTATTAATGTAAACCTTGTAGGTGCGTTCTTGGGTGCTAAACACGCTGCTCGGGTAATGATCCCGAATCGCAGTGGGAACATAATCACGACAGCGAGTACTTGTTCGAAAATAGGCGGTGGTTCTTCACACAATTATGTAAGTTCAAAACATGGGGTGGTAGGACTCACGAAGAATTTGGCTGTGGAGCTTGGAAAATATGGTATTCGCGTAAATTGTGTGTCACCACACGTAGTTCCTACACGACAGTCGAAGGATTTCTACAAAATGGATGATGAGGGATTCGGCAATGTATATTCTATCCTCAAAGGTGTTCTACTTAAGCCAGAGGATGTGGCTGAAGCTGTTCTGTTCTTGGCTAGTGATGAGTCGAAGTGTGTTCATGGACACAACCTTTTTGTTGATGGGGGGGTCACAATTGCGAATTCCAAGTTTTCCATGTTTGAGTAATATCATGTTTAATCAACCTGTTTCTCTTGTTTCTCTTGATTAACATATAGCAAATGACAGATACGGTGGAATATAATAGAGCAATTTTCATATTCAATCATATTAAATACATCTGATCAGAAGTTTCTCGTTCTAGTCATAAAGTTCATCATTGTATCTATGATCACTGTAATTTCTTATGCTGATATTGATTCATTTTTCCTTTCTTGTTCTCATAAAATTTACTTGGTTCAAATTAGTTTTTTTACAAATATCTTGAAATTTGGATTCGCAAGTTTATAATTCATCTGGTATTAAAGGAAAAAAAAAAAATGTTGGTTCCACTGGCTGGCCTACATGTGGTGTCAGCTGACCAACAGAAATTTGACCCTATAGCCATGGTTTTATTTCCTTGGATTGTTCTTCTTGGCCAGGGCCACCATTTATAACCTCATCTGGTATTAGAGGGACAAAAAAAATGTTGGTTCAACTGACGGCCTACATGCGGTCATGTGGGGTCAGCTGACCAACAGATATTTGACCCCGTAGGCATGGTTTTTAATCCTTGGATTATTCTTCCTGGGCCCTGGCCAAGTGGCAAGGTCCTTAATCCCTTAGGGTACTGAAGCAGGTGAGATTTCTTCATCCTTCCGGAATCTTCATTTTTGGGGCCCCTTCAAGATTTAGTCTTGGGTGATATATTTGCAGCCCTTTGAAGATGTGGACAATGAGGTGCTGGCATTGGAGAAGAAAACACAGACAATTGAGATTGAAAGAAAAATCTCGAGACTTTTGGATCATCATTTTTACCTACACTTTACGCAGAATTTGAAGCCTCTCGTTTCTCTTATGTAGGTATTGAGTATTGTTTGGGAGGTAATTTGCAATGTTTTAAAAATCGATTCGACCATTGACTCGAAAAAGAAAAAGGGTCAAGTGTCAAAAGATTGAACTCAGGTCGAATAGGCGATTTACAGAGATTTCAAAAATATACATTTACATAAGTTGAACCAGTTAAATCGGGAACAAGACATGGGTTTTCCAAAAATCAGCTGGTTTAACGGATTTGGAGACGAGTTTTTAATTAGAGGTCTTATAAGTCTAATTGGACCGATTTTAGACCCGATTCAAGATTTTCCTAATTGAACTGATCGGGTCAATTTGTTTTCTTAAATCACTGGTAATTTGCACTCTTTGAGACATAAAACAGCCTCATAAACTCTTCTCTCTCATCTTAGCCAGGTAGCACTTATATATTATTATGTTTGTAATTTTCTTGAAAAATCATTCCACATTCATGTTCTTTGTGCACATCATGGTTGATACTGTGTGAGATAAAAATCAAGGCCATTAATTGTTTTAAGTATTATTAAAATCAATGGTAAAACATTGTGCCACATCATATCAAAAAACTATTAACCATTGATGTACACCGAGTAAAACTGTTTCTTGAATGACTAAACAAATATTAGAATAAAATGCAATTTTCTTCATTTGTTTGATTCTCAGCTCATTCTTTTTAGTTTTTAACTAACTGACCTTTCATGAAAATTTTCATTACCCCAATATCGTAATCATTTGCTTTCTGCATTGTGTTACTGCATTTTGTTTGGGTATATCTGATCTGGGCTTTATTCAATTACTTGAAATATTTTGTGGAACTCATATATTTCGTGATATGAAACTGGTTGTTTATATTTGTTGAAAAATTTGGTAGTGTAAGGAGTTAATTTGGCTGCAGCAAAGGCAATTTCATTCATCACCATACAGTTAATTTGGAAGGATATTTTTTTATTGTTTTGCCATTGATTAGCCTTGAATTAGATTATTGAATCGAATTTTACTAGTAGTATATTATAGTGTTTTCGGCCTTGTATATACTCTAGAGATATAGTGAGTTTAGATATATTTAAGTATCCCATAGACTTAATTTTTTAGCCGACAATAAAGAATTTTTGGCTTCGGCACTGACTGGTTGGCAGTTCCTCGAAACTTCAAGTCATTGGAGGAACTTGAACGTGGGGAAAAGGGTATTGGAGACGGTTTTGTAAGCTATGGAATGAATGATGTGTTGGAATAATTAATAATTTCATATGTGGGCTTTATATTCGATTGTAAAATTTTATAGGTTAGATATATGGTTCATAATGATAATTGTATTTGGACCAAATTTATTAAGTGATCAATTGGACCTTTTACATCTTACGGGTTGTAATTAATTTGATATGGTAATTTAAAGTATGTGGATCGAAAATAAACCCTAATTAGAATTCTAGTTTTAATGGGACGACTCAAATTATTTTCTGTATATAAAGGCTAGGTCTCCTCTCCTCTACATATGTTTTATTGGTTTGCTCCATTAATAGTTGATATTTTGTGAGGAGCAAGGAGGGGAAGATCTTGACTGCTATCATAACTACTATTCATATCAACAATGACTTCCGCATGTATGAATTCGTTTCTATTAATTTATTGGATTGTGATTATCGATTCTTAACATGATTAAAACTAAATATTGACAATTGGTATCAGAGCAGCATGTTAAGATCGAAATCCTTCATGAATTTTTTTTTCTTATCTCACTTTGAAAAACGTCCTATGTGCATACATTAAAATTACATGTGGCATTGAATTAATTCGTATTTCCTTCACGTGGTGGATAACGTGGTGGAGTAACCCAAGCAGAAACAATAAAGGCAGGAACAATAAATGATTTCCCTCTCTCTCCTCCTTTTATATATATACAATGGGTGAACAATAAATTGTTTCCCTCTCTCTCTCCTTATAATTTTGACTTTGAAAAGCATACTTCATATAAATTTAAATAAAACCTCCGGTAGGATCTGGTTTTGTTTGGGTTAGAATAAAAAAAAAAAAAGTTTAATATGAGTGGTTGAATGTTAAATAAAAAAATAATAATAATAATAAAAAGTCAGTTTCTATCGTTTTGGGAGAGATGTAGACGAGGGCTCCTGTTGTAAGTTCCTAGCCCCTGTTTGCAATTACATATTGGGGGTTAAGTTTATAAATAATAAAAGAAGGGCCTGCTTGTAATTAAAGAAACTATAGGACCTGGCTTTAATTTCAGACATGGCGTCAGAGTGCAATTTTCAAAAGGTGATTAAATTTGAATTTTGAAATTGGATCAAAAGTCCTTACTCCAATATTTCAATTTTGACCCAATTGAAATTTTATTTAAACTTGACCCGATTAAAATTATATGTTGAATAAATAATAAAATTAATTGACGACTTTTGTATTATTTCATTAAAATGTTATGTATTGCCATTATTTATGCATTAAATTTCATTTTGAAATTTTGTTGCCAATTTCGTCTATTAATATATATTAATCACATATGAATTTCTTGTCTTTCATCAATTAATGATCATGATTTGTTGCATAACTTCTGTGATTAAATTTTTCATGGGCATTGAGACGATTCTTATTTTCCCACTAAAAGAGAAATATTTTGAAATAAAAATGGGTGGTAACTACCAAAGTGGCACACTCATTTTTATTTATTCGATTTTCTCTACAATAAAAATACATATATTTTTGCCCAACAACTTTTGATTTGTTGCATATAATATATTGTACAAAGGTGTTATTATATGTAATATTTTTGGAAAATGGCATGAGACGGTTAACGAGCTTATTTTGGTTTAGAAATTTCCTTATGCCCAAAGGTGTTGGTGTTTCGAAAATCAGTGTAATTTTGTTAACTGACTACATGATGTGTTTTAAGAGTACCTTATAGCATATTGTATTGTCAACCCAAAGGTGACTTTATGATGATGCACCTAGGCTCTTACCGTAATAAAATTCATATGTTTCGATTTAAATTACGGCTTATCTAATTAATAACCCATATTAATTAGTTGGATATTTCATCATCCATTTAATTGCATGCATTACGTTTGGATGATATTGAGTGTGATATTTTATGTTTCCACAGTTTATAATGCCTCATCTCTTTCGAATCAATTGTCTGCTATTGAAACATTGATTGGGAATAACTATGTAAGATGGAAACGAGACATAGAAATAGTACTTGGTCTTTTGGGCTTGGATTTTGCAATGGAGAACAAGCTTGAGAAACCCACAGATAAAAGTATCATTGAATATGTAGCCGAGCATGAAAAGTGGGAAAGGGCTAACAAACTCTGTTTGAAAATCATTAAGCGGTCGATATTTGATTCCATTCTGGGTGTCATCCCTAATAATGAAAATACCAAAAGTTTTATGGATGCCATAGGAGAAAAATTTATTGAGTCTGATAAAGTCGAAACTGGGGATCTGATGGATAAATTGATGAGCATGAAATATGATGGCATAAATGATGTTAGGGAGCATGTCATGAAAATGATAAATATATCATCTAAGCTAAAGGCTCTTGACATTCTCATTGCGGAGCCTTTCCTGGTCTATCATTTTTTGAATAGCCTTCCTAGCAAATTTAATCAACTTAAGGTTGCTTACAATGTTCAGCGGGATAAATGGAATTGAATGACCTTATAGCAGTGTGTGCTCAAGAAGAGTATAGGATGCGCCGTGAAACTGTTGAAATTATGCAATTAGCTTTTCAGCCATCGCAGAATAAGGGGCCTTCTCATAATCATACACCTAAGTTTCGTAAGGGTAATAAGTCCCACCGAAGTCAGCAGAATAAAAATTTTAGTGGTCCCAAAAGAGTTATAAAGAAAAATGATAATGTAAGTTCTGTAAAAAGAAGGGTCACTGGTAGAAAGATTGTTTTAAGTTCAAGACTTTGCTGGAAAAGAAGAAGAGTTCTTCAGGTATTCCCTTGGCCTTAGTTTGTTTTGAGTCTTCTTTAGTAGATGTGCCTTTGAATTCTTGGTGGTTAGACTCGGGAGCTATTATTCATATTGCGAATTCCTTGCAGGGGTTCATAAGCAAACGGAGGCCAAGTGAGAATGAAGTAAGTTTGAGCGTTGCAAATGGATTTAAGTGAAGGTTGAATTTATAGGAGTAGTGAAGTTAACTTTAGAGTCTGGTTTTTATCTTATTTTGGAAAATACAGTTTATGTACCGCAGATGAGACGGAATTTAATTTCTATACCAAAACTTGATGCTTGTGGTTTTACATTTAATTTTGGTAATGGAATGGTTAAGTTATTTAATGATTCTCGTTTGATTGGGAATGACATTTTATGTAATGATTTATATAAATTATCTTTGGCTTCTTTTGGTGATGTCTCATGTGTTACAAA